CATGATTACACATGGCCGCTTCAAGCCTTCACTCTGACAGAATTATGGGAAGTTTGATGGTCATAAAGACGACAAGGGATCGATTGGTGGTAAATCTTACTTTGTCCGACATAGACTTTGTTAACAAGCTCCTTCAAGAGTATGTATGCTGCAATTCTTGGGCTTGATGTCGCTTACATCCTGTTATTGAATAGAGCTATTGCTGAACGTAGATTCTTACACGTCAATAATTAATCAACATCTTTGACGATGTACATCATTCGTCGTAAGAAGTACATGGCTTGTATTAGCTGCCAACTGCGATGTATGTTAGCATTGCAGTTTTTTGTGCCCATAAATTACCCACCTAACAAACGTCCATCTCGAGTAACAGTGAACGCTGCACTGCGTGTTTGTCCATCAATGCAGTGTATGGACCCTCTCAATTTCCAAATCATCATGCCATCAATACCTTTTGGACGACATTCGTGAACAGGTTTCTCGTCCCATAACACCGTCATGACGTCTTTATCGGTGATGGACCGCACCGTGAAAGGACAACTGCCATTGTTGCCGCATTCATGATCCTCAAAATCCTTCCAAATCCAAATTGCTTTGGCGATACGGAAACCCGCGTTCTCGTAAAGCAAATGCGATAAAGGGACGTGGTATGGGAATTTGTGCAGATTGAGGAAAGATCGTCGTGAAACAGTGAGTAAAGGATATGCACATGTTAAACCATACGGTGTGACATAGTTCATGTCAAGGGTGAGATCATTTTCAAACATAGGTTGGATGGGATGATTGGTCCGAGAAACCGTGATAGTTATTGTGAAAGTTGCTTTTGTGAGGGTAAAAATTCCTTCTGTCAGGTTTGGGTCTCTCATGTTGTCCCACATCGGTCTGCGTTCGACTCGAGTGACGTTGAAATCACAACGTTCTCGTAAGAGATTTAGTAAAATGTCCCGTGCGTCAGAGCCGACCATCATGGAAATGTGATCGTGCGGCAACGACGATATTTGGGGAAACATCAAGAGTAGAGGGATTGAGCCGGTTATTACGGAGCCAGTTGATTTCATGATTTCGATAAGCCGTATGGGACAAACACCTCTTTTGGCGATCTCCCGCACAAGAGTATGTTTGTGGTAGAGTGCCGTTTGTGTTTTATTGTACCGATTTGTCTGCGCGAATGATCGTATATCAGTGAATGGCGTCGTTTCCAAAATTTGTGTCAAAATTTCCATGCTTAACGCATCCATATAGGTGTCAAACATTTGAACTTCTATAGAAGGGAATTACGATATCAGTCGTTTTTGGAAATTGACTATCAGAAAATAATAGCGGTGGAAGGAAGAAGGGTAGTCAGAGAAGACAAAAACGACTTACCCAGTTAATTGTGTGCTGTGTTTTCTTGAAGCGAAGTTGAGAGTAAATATGTATGTATTTTGCAGCAATTTCTTATCACGGGTATAGTTTGCGCCGTACAGTTTGGGATGTTTCGTGATTCGACGTTTTGGGTCGCAAAG